AACCCCTGAAGGTTTACGGGATGACAGCGACCTCAGTGGGGTACAAAGCCATAGAGTCCATCCTCCAAAGCATCCATTTTCTCCAGGGGAACTGATCTCTGTAGTCTAGAGGTGAGCTGTAATTCTAGGGGATCACCAGGTCCCACCTGGAGGCTGGCATCCCAACAACCCACAGCTTTTTACAAGGCCGGGTGCTAAAGTTTCTGCCCCACAGACATTAAATTTCTGAAAGGGGGGGGTAACTGTATTACCTCCAGTGTGTTTCTTCCCTTCCACCCTCCACCCACCTGGTAATAATCTCTCCATGTGGCTGAATGTGTCTGAGTTGCAGCTGTTTTGACATTGCAGTGCAATCCACTGTGAAATGAGACTCCATGGAACATTCCCAGGTTCTTAGAAAACTCCAGTTACCATCAGTTTAGTAACACACTGCACAAAAACAAAGCTTTTGGGACAGGAATTACAGTGGGACATGTCAAAAAAGACAGTCTTTCCTCTGGGAAGGGTGTGTGGTTTGGGTTCTAGTGGGCAAACTATTTCTTTAAGATATTTACATCCTGCCTTGCCAGTTTGAGGCAGCAAGTCAGAACAGTTTGATACAAACAACAAACAGTTTTAAACAACAGCCAAAGAATGCAATAGACGCAAGCAGGATTAAATCAAATAGACGCAAGGACAGGAAAACAAGTTTAAATTAGTCTGTTTGCCAATTTAGTTAAACGCCAACTGAAATGTTAAAGTTTCCTTTACCTTGTTTCTAAACGCTGAAGGAGAAGCAAATCTGGAGGGGAGGCCATTCCACAAACATGGTGCCACCACAAAGTAGACCCTTGGACTGCAGTTCCTTAAGCAGGTTGTTTATGCAGTTCTGTGTTCATAAAGGAGCTGGGGGAACCAGGAACCAACTTCAGCCTCCTGTTACAGAAGCCAGAAGGACAGATGGTTGCAAACTACATAAATGTGTCCCCAGCTGTGGAAAAAGAAGAGCAGACTCAGCCAGGAATGCTTTTGGTGTGAGAACAGGTCTTACAAGGGTCTCCTTTGTAAATCTGAGCAGTGTTGGTTGATATGAACACTTTTGCAGAAGGGAACAAATAACTTTTAAAGGGCTATTTTATCTCTTGACTGAGACTGCAATCCTAAAGACACTTTCCTGGGAGTAAGATCCATAGAATAGCATAGGACTTACTTCTGCGTAGACCTGTTTAGGAGTGCTCCCACCTAGCTTGCTTTCTGGAGTTGTTAGTATCCCCCCCCCCTCAAGATTAACTGCCCAGAAGTGGTACAAAGTTTGAGTCCAGTGGCACCTTCAAGACCAGCAAAGATTAATTCTGGGTATAAGCTTTCATGATCACATGAAAGCTTATACCTGGAATTAAACTTTGTTGGGTCTTAAGGGTGCCACTAGACTCAAATTTTGTTCTATTGCTTCAGACCAATATGGCGACCCACCTTAATCTATCCAGAATTGGGCTTGCTCTGGGACCCAGGGACTTAGTAGAATTTTTAAAAGGCCTTGGTGTCTAATGTGACTTCAATGGACATCTATTTTGAAACAGTGTGTTTTCTCCCCCTTTGGCAGGGAGGTAATTTCTGTCTCTAGATTCCGAAATGCAGCCTCACTTCTTTGGAGTCTGTTTTTGACCACACTGTCCATTTCCCCCCGGCACTGATTTTCTGATTCTATTTTTGGTGATTTCCTCCTGCAGCCATCAGACAGTTTCCCCTGCGATGTGTGGGATATTTTGTTCTTTTCTTGTTTGTCCAAAGGAAAAGAGAAGGGCAGCAAAGTTCTCAGGACACTTTTCTATCTGAGAACCTGGCTTTGATTTGTGGATTACCACTATCAACTGCAAGCAGGGAACAGCATCAAGAAATTGCTTCTGAAATCTCTTGAAGGAGTTTGTTGTTGTCGTCTTTTAAAGCAAGCCCATATTTTGTTTGATGAGGTCTGTTTTGGATGAACCTGCAGTGCCCACACAGCTAGGGGGAAGTCAGACGACTATCAATCCCCCCCCCCCCCAAGAATCCCCCTTTAGCTGCTTATCATAGCAGTCTGGTTAAAGGATTACATTCCTGGAGTTATTTATTTCAGGAATGCGATCCTCATAAGCCAGTAGATGGTTCAGAAGTTTTAAAAAATTACATTTCCGATTCAGTGTGGATATTTCTGATCCTAGCAGTTCAGATATACCAAAACGGGCATCAGCACCCAGGCTGGGCAAGACGATTCCCAGGCATTTCTGTTGGCCATTGATCCTCTATTCCTGTGTTTCCCAACCTGCGGGCTGGGACCCAGCAGTGGGCCTCAAAGCCTCTGAAAGGGGATCGCGGGCCAGCTCTCCCTAATGGGTCCTCCTGCCCTTCCCCATCGCTCTCTTTTTGTATCCTGAAAACCAAGATCTGATCCTGGAGACAGTATCTTCCACGTCATACATTATTTGGGTTTTTTTTCTGCACTGAGGCTACCATTACACACACTAAATAATCCACTTTCAGTGCACTTCCCAACTGGATTTTGCCAGTTCACAGAGTAAAATCCAGTTGGAAAGTGCATTGAAAGTAGATTGTGCCTGCCACTCTGGATTTTCTCAGTGTTCAAGGCAATTTAAGTCCAGTGCAAAACAGCATCCAAATAACCCGGGGCAACAGCAGGCTGAAACCGGGCTGACTACTGAAGGGAGGTAATGCAATGCAGAATGGAGGGAAAACCAAGAAGAGGTGGAAGAGGAGGAGGAAGAGATTGGATTTATACCCCGCACTTCACTCAGAGTCTCAGAGCAGTTTACAAACTCCTTTCCCTTCCCCTCCCCACAACAGACACCCTGTGAGGTAGGGTGGGGCTGAGAGAGCTATGAGAGAACTGCTCTTTCAAGGACAGCTCTGACAGAACTATGGCTTGCCCAAGGTCATCCAGCATCTGCAAATGGAGGAGTGGGGAATCAAACCTGGTTCTCTCAGATTAGAGTCTTCACACTTAACCACTACACCAAACTGAAGAAACCAAAAAGAAGGTTTAACTCGATTTTACTGCAGAATGGAGGGGGGGGACCTGGATTAAAAAGAAGGTTGAATTCGATTTTAGTGCAGATTTGCTTGGAGGGCACCACGGTGAATATGGATTAAAAGGAGAGTACAGAAAGGGCCAAGTGACCACAGCCATATTGATCCAGTAAAACATGTCCTGGTGGCCACCAGTGTTCCCTGTAAGCTGAGTTAGTGTGAGCTAGCTCACAGTTTTTTAGCCTCTGGCTCACACATTTTTGTCTTCGCTCAGGAAGGAGGGCTCCAGAGCAAGCTAATTTATACAGTAGCCAAATTGCTCGCTCACAGCTTTAATGCCAGTGGCTCACCAAGTAGAATTCTTGCTCACAAGACTCCACAGCTTAGAGGGAGCATTGGTGGCCACTAGAGTGAGTCAGAATCTTAGGGGGTATTAGAGAGAGTAATGGAGAAGGAGAGGGTGGTCAGAGGCTGGACTCTAATCTCCATATGCAGGGGCTGCATATGTCAGAATGCCACTTGCTAGAGGTTCATAGTGGGGGCAGCTGTGCCTCTTGTACAATGTTTCTTGGTCAGCCACTGTAGAAAACAGAGTAGTGAATTAGAAGGGTGCCAAGGTTATAGTTTGCCTAGGGTGCCAAAAAACCTTGAACCAGCCCTGGATGAACAGATAAAATTAAAACATATAAAAGGAAGTCCCTCTTCACCCAAAGAGTAATTAACACGTGGAATTCACTGCTGCTGGAAGTGGTGGTGGCTACCAGCATAGACAGCTTCAAGAGGAGACTGGAGAAACAGATGGAGCAGAGGTCCATCAGTGGCTATTAGCCACAAGGTATAGAGGGAACACTCTGTCTGGGGCAGTGATGCTCTGTCTTGGTGCTGGGGGGCAACAGTGGGAGGGCTTCCGGAGTTCCAGCCCTGCTGATGGACCTCCTGATGGCACCTGGGTTTTGGCCACTGTGTGACTCAGAGTGTTGGACTGGGTGGGAGGAGGAGACTGGATTTATACCCTGTCCTTCACTACCCAAAGGAGTCTCAGAGCAGTTTACAATCTACTTTCCCTTCCCCTCCCCGCACCAGATGCCCTGTGAGGTAGGTGGGGCTGAGAGAACTCTCTCGAGAACTGCCCTTGAGAGAACAGCTCTGAGAGAACTTGTGACTTACCCAAGGTCACACCAGCAGCTGCATGTGAAGGAGTGGTGAATCAAACCCACTTCTCTCAGATCACAGTCCGCATTCCTAACCACTACACCTCCCCTCCCCAAACCCCGTCCTCCCAAGGCTGCACCTTCCCAAATCCCAAATATTTCCCAATCTGAAGCTGGCAATCCTAACCCCGGATCTGAATAGCCCAGAGTAGCTTGATCTGCCAGATCTCGAAAGCGAAGCAGAGTCCGCCGTGTTCAGTCTTTGGCTGGGAGACCAGTAAGGAAAACCAGCCAGGGTTGCTACGCAGAGGCGGGCAATGGCAAACCACCTTCGGACGCCTCTGGCCTTGATGATGGCGGGGAAAACCCCAAAAGATGTCAGCTCTAGCCATCCCTTTTCAGCGGCGTCTACCTCGCAGGGCTGTCGTGCGGCTAAAATGTCCCAGCAAAGAGACACAACGTGCGCCTCCATGAGGTCCTTATAAAAAGGTGGAGAATTATTTAAAAAGCAACCAAACACCACGATCCATCAATCAATATTGGTCTGGCCGTCCGCGCTTAGCAAATCCCCTCCCCAGCAGCCGTGCCCCAGCCCTCTCCCGAGGTGGTACAGCCCTCGCCAGCGTGAGCCCCGCCCACTAGACCCGACGGCCCTGCCCCGCAGCCTCCCCCTCCTGCTTCCCACCCCCCGCGGTAGCGAGGCGGCTGCAGAGCGAGCCCGAGTTTTAGGGGGGCGTCCCCGCCCCTGGCTCCGCCCGTGCAGGCGGCCGGGCTGCGGGGCGGGGAGCTGAGCCGAGCCGGCGGAGGGACGGCCCCCCTCGCCTCTCCGGCCAGCGAGCTCCGGCGGCTGCGAGCGAACGAGCGAGGAGTTGGCGCTCCTGCTGAGCCAGCCAGCCGGGCGGACGCGGCCAGCGCCATGGACTCGGACTCCGGCGAGCTGAGCGACGGCGACCTGGTGCCGGCGGCCGGTAAGCGCCGAGGGGCGGCGGGGCTGGGACTGGGGCGGCTTTGCGGACGCGGGAGTCAGGCGCCGCGGAGTTCTGCGCTTCGGCCGGCGGGGCTGGGGCTCCGTCCTCTCTTGGGGGGGGGGGGGCTACCCCACCCTCCCCCACCCTCCCCTACCCTACCCTACCCTGGGTGTCCTCAGAAGAAGTCCTGCCTCGCCTTTGGGAGGGGGAGACCCGAGAGGATCCCGGGGAGAATCGTGATTCCTACCCGGTGCCAGCCCCAGCCAGCCGGCCTGGGTTCCGTTAGATGGTCTCAGAGCCAGCTTTGGATCTCCCCTCGATCTCCCTCTCCGCACACTTGATGTATTTCTTTGCGTCATTTCCCCCCAATGGGGAACCGAAGTATCCTTCTCCTCTCCTCCCTTTGATCCTCACAACAACCCTGTGAGGTAGGCGAGGCTGAGAGGGTGGGACTGGCTTTGTGCGTCTTCCGCGTTTGTAAGCTGGATATCTCAACCTCTCTCTCTCTTTCTGTCTCTCTCCCTCCCTGGCTTTATTTCTGTGGTATGTATTCATTTAGCGCATTTCTCTTGCACTCTTCTTCCCAGGGGCTCAGGATGATAAACATGTTCCTTCCTTCCCTCCCCATGCTCCACTTTTTCCTCACCACCGCCTTGTGAGGTAGGTTGGGGGGGGAGAGAGAAAGAGGCCCGTGGTTCCTCTCAGTAAGTTTCATGGCAAGTGGGGACTTAAACCTGCCTCTTCTTGTCCAGAGCTATAACCGCTATGTAACACTGCCGAACTGCCTTGCCTGAAAATTCGGCTATTGCTATAGTAAAGAAAATTTGGGGGAGCGCTCTTTAAAAATAGTTAATCTCTACCAGTTTGTAGGAGCCTTGAAATTCCCTCATTCCCATTCTGAAGGGGAAACAAATGGTTCCTGATCCTGGGGCGCCTGCGTGCCTGCACATGAGCCTTAAGGCAGGATCAATGGAATTCTTAGCTGTCTTGTTCTCCCTGCAAAGTTGCATATGTGAGCAGAGCTCCCAGGCTTCTTGGTTTTAATTTCAAACCAGGACGCAGCTGAACGACAAGTGGTGGGTGGGCGGGAGAGAACGCAGGGCATGCTTGATCTCTGCTGCCAGGTGTGGCTCACACGAGTGTTTGCTTGGTGGTTGAGCAAGCACTTTGGCTGTGTTTTCTTTAGTTTTGTTTTCTGGAGCTGAGGTCTGGCAGGGAACCCCAGGTTTGGGATGAAGGTTTTGTGAGTTAAGACTTGGGAATCTCACGTGGGGGAGGCGTGAAAAGGAGTAAGAACACTGAGAATCTCAACCATTCAGAACTCTCGGTTAGGGTTCGCACACGCCCAAGGCATCACCAGCTGTTCGTATCCATGAGTACATTATAAGGGCCTATTGCAAGTATTTTATAACTCGCCTTAAAGTAGAAAGTTTGCCTGAGGTGCACACATGATGGGAACTGACCCAGCAAAATGTATCACCGGATCTCTGCCTCACAAAGAATGCTTGTGCTTGAAGCATTGATTTCTCAAGATTTTTTGGCTGCACAGATGTAAGGAGAAGAGACTGCTGTCATGTAAGCAGGAACCGATGAAGGGTAGTGGTTAAGACAGTGAGCTGTGAGCTAGGAGGCCTCCAGTTCAAGTCTTGCCTGCGTTGTTCTTCAGTCGCACAGTCGAGTCCGACTCTTCGCATGGACCACATCACGCCAGGCCTGTGTTACAACCTTGCTAAGTGGTTTTAGGCAAACTGCACTCTCTCAGCCTCAGCTGCATTATGGCAATGATCATATTGGCCTACCTTACAGGGTGGTACTAACAATCGCAAGTTAACATGTATGTGGAAAGTGCTTTCAACAGTGAAGCGTCTTATATAAAGGCCGATTGTGTATATTATATAAGAAATCGCGAAGGTCTGTTTCTGTTCAAAGAATTCTAAAACCTCTTTGCATTCCTAAGCCTACCCAAGTTAGTTGTGCTGTCTCTAATCATACACACTGATTATGGGATGTTTTCCAAAAACATCTGTAAGCAGTTGTGATGGAGTCATTCTTAACTATTGCAGAACTGTGAAGTCATTGAAGAGTCCAAGGTTGATCCGAAGTCTAGCTTGTGTGTTTGTCTCATGCCTCCCTAGCTGGGCACAATAATGCCCAACTGCTAACATGGAAAAAGGTTCTTTCTTCTCCCAAGACTTCTCTGTGGTGTCTCGAGAAAGCCAGCTGTATGGGCTGTTGGGTCAGGAGGTGGTTGTCTTCCTCTGTAATATATCATAGGTGCAACCTTGCCGGCCTTAGGCTGTTTTCATCTGTGAAGCTTCGAACGATCAGCCATCCAACAGTGCAGATACAAAACCTACATTGGCTAGAATGCTCATCTGCATGACAAATGCCTCTTCTGTGTGTTCTGTTCCAATGGTTGCTTTGCAGGCATCAACGTAAATGTGGTAGAGGAAAGTGCTGTTAAGTTGCAGCTGACTTATGGCAACCTGTAGGGTTTTCAAGGCAAGAGATGAGCAGAGGTGGTTTGTCACTGCCTGCATCTGTGTAGTGACTCTAGACTTCCTTGGTGGTCTCCCATCCAAATACTAACAGGAGCCGATCCTGCTTAGCTTCTGAGGTCTGATGAGATCAAGCTAGCTTGGGCCATCCAGGTCAGGGCCTGTTAATGTAAATAATGTCTCTGAAATGGCACTTTGGCATCCACAGTGAGGGCCCTCCTCAGATGTCATGGATTTGATGTCAGGAAGTGTTGTGTTCAGCAAGATCAGGAGAGCCGAAATTGGCTCAAGTTCATCAGCGGTGAAACCCTGCATCCAAGCAGTGCTCTGTGGAAATGAAAGGCTGGACTGGTTTGTATACACAACGGAGTTTTGGCCGGAGCTGCCTTGGAGTGTAGTTAGAGCTACTGTGATAGATGATGAGTTTATGGGATGACCAGCTTGCTTACATACTGGTGGAGACAGGGGATTGCCTTCACGTATACAACCCATTATCTGTGGTCTTAACTTTTATAAGACTTGTGCATTCCAAAAGGGCCTCTGATTGTACACCATTGGTGATAGTCTTATTTTTAATATATTTATGAAGGGGAGTAGAGCATCTGCCCATATTCAATCTCCACCGTCTCCCATTTTAGAACACACAGGTAGTAGGTGATGGGAAAGACCTGCCTGAGACCCTGGAGAGCTGCTGGCATTTAGAGCAGACAATATTGACCTTGATTCAGTGGTCTGATTCACTGGAAGGCAGCATCATGTGCCATGCAACTAAGCCGACAAAAGTTACTCGTGCACAAAGATTTTACTAGTCTGCCTGCCCACGGTTGTCTGTATGGGATATATGGACCATGCTGATGGTCTGCAGTAAAAGAATGTGGGTTGAGACAAAGGTTCTCACAGGCACCTTCTAGGGTTAGTGTTCGTTGTATTGGCGCATGTTTGCTGCATGCAGTATTATCTGTTTTTCAGAATGTGTATTGTGGTTTTTTTTCTATCACTCTTGAAACATAAAACCATCTCTACCCTTAGAATGGCTGTCTGCCTTCTCTTTGTCCTTGACCATCAGAGGAAACACATACATTGCTCTGTTTTCCTGAAAGGAAAATGAAGCTTTCCCCCAGCAGTGCTGTTAAGAGGAACAGGAGGTTGTCTTCAGTTCACATACCGTTTCCAAATATGTACACTTAATGAACTCTTTTTGCGTATAAATGTGGTACCAGCAGCACAGACAGTTGCGGAGGGAGATGCATGACATTATGAAGACTCTGTTCCCCTTCTCTTCCTGCACCATCCTGACCTGGATCAGGTTGTCTCTGCAGCTGCTATATACCAATTTTAAAAATTCCTGGGAGGTTTGCCACACTCCTGTCTCCTTATCTGGTGTGGCCGAAACTCCCAGTTTACAAAATCCTTTGGGCTGATCAACACGTTACCCACGTAACCGCCATGAGGACTTTGATCAAAAGTGTGCTGGGAGTTTCCTACTCAGAACCTAATTTCTGGGGGGTGATTCAGACTGGGGGTGTGGCTGAAGCCCCCTCCCTCCTGTGCGGTTTCCGTGATTTGAAACCACCTGGTCAAGTTACATGTACTTACCATTCCACAGCTCTTCCCAACAGGATAAGTAGCATTTCCCTTGGACTGTTTTGGGTCAGGAAAATGACACAGGATTGGGGTGCAGGGGAGGAGGCTTCAAAAACCCCTTCTCCATGAACTCTTTATTTACCCCATTTATACCCTGCCTTTCTCCCCAATGGGGACCCAAAGCAGCTTACATGTTTCTCCTCTCATCCATTTTATCCTCACAACAACCCTGTGAGGTAGGTTAGGCTGAGACGGTGTGACTGGCCCAAGGTCACCTAGCAAGCTTCCATGGCAGAGTGGGGATTTGATCCTGAGTCTCCCAGACCCTAGCCTGACACTGTAACCACTGCACCACACTGGCTCTCGTGGTGCCAATCCGAATTGGCCAAGCGCATGTGTGGGAATTCACTTTGGGGAACAGAACTCCCAGAATGCATTGCCGTGAGAGTCCTCTTGGTAGTTATGAGGACTCTGAAACATGTCAGTTGGCCCTAAATTTTTATCACAGGCAATTGTGAGATGAGGGCGAGGCTATTTAGATTATAAATATTGTGAACTGCCTCAAGCATAGGAGAGGTAAGAGAGAAACATCTTTTAAAAAGGAAGAACATGATGAGATAGCACTCCTCTGTGTGTGTTTGCATTTATACTGTGTTTTCCCTAAGCATGAAGAATTTACGCATTAGTTTGTTTTATTGAAACATTTATGCCTCGCCTTTCCTTGTGGTTCAAGGTGGCTTATGGTAATAGTCTAAGAGCATGTCCAGTGAAAACCAAACTAAAATAACAAACTCCAAATTCCCCCCCCCCCCTTTGTCCCTTATTTGCTCTTTGGGTTTACTGGCGTGATGCAAAACACATTCCTGTGGGATTGATTCCCTGAGCCTGGGTGGTATTCTGTGTTTCGTTAATTTGGAA